CACTGCGACGTCAGAGCTTGTATTAAGCTGTAAAAACTGAGCGTCCATACGTTTTACATTCTCCGCTAAAAGCTGCTTGATCTGAAAAATTATTCTGTTTCGGTAATCACCAAAATAAGCAGGGGAACTTCAGGCCGCGAAAAATGAAGTAAAAAATAGCATAAGAAAGACGACTTTCGGGTTAATTTTCATTGTCAGCGCACCATAATAATGAGATACAAAGACTTCTACAGTGATTGAGAATGGGACAGTTGCAGGAACGCCGAATCTTGCACAAAGTGCTGAATTCTTGTAGAACACGGCAAAAAGAAAAAATGAAGGAAAAACCGCTAAAAAAAGTTAATTTCTCAAGAAAGCATTAGCCTGATCAATGAACGTCAAGTTAACTGCAATTCATGACCTGACTGATGTAGATTGAAATATAGAGATACTTTGTCAACCTTTTCAAAGTAAATGATCATAATTTCGGAAAACACCAACCGTCGTATCGTAGGAAGAAAGGTTGCGCAGCGCACGAACAGAAGATGAAACAAGAGGAGCACTGAGGCTCTCCAATGATGATTTGAGCTGAGAGGCTGCGCTTCGTCTCACCTCAGCTGCCAACCTCGGTATCTGCAACTGATGCAGGTCAAAAGCATGCCCAGGACTCCGCAGTTTTGAAACATTAAGAGCATGCTGATGACATTAACAAAATGATTAGCAATGAAAAGCAGAACGGGAACTAGCATTCGAGAAGTTACGCACATTTTTTTTTTCTCAATTTCCTTTTATATACTGCGGTGCAATTTAACGGGGTATATAGAATGACGGGGAAAGCCTCATTAACTGCCCATAGCAACTGCCATCGTCTTTATTTTGAAAAATTAGTTTTGGAATTAAGAGTCAAAACAGTATTCTAATCTAATTCAATTCGGATGAACAGGCAGAATTCAGCTTTAACTTCGATTCAATTCCAATTAAAAGAAGCTAAGAGACCAAAGAGCGTACAGTAAAACAAAATTTTGAAGGATGTACAATATACAAACTATAGAAATTATCACAAAGCTTACCGTCGCTAGAACTGTCTCACGCATGCACTCAATGTCTTTCAGAGATGGTATCTCAGCGGAGATTGCCTCTAATTCACAAACCATCTCAGAGCGTTTTACCAATTCGTTGGTCGTTTCAAGTCGACGCGTCAATTGCTCGCACCTTAAATGATTAAATTTTTTTTTTGAATTTTAAAATTCGATTTTTTGCAATTTAGCATTCTCTCCTTGCAGCTTACAAAATATGCTGCATTTTCAGCCTTTAACATTTCGGAATTTGCACTTTTCAAAATTTCACATTCTTTGAACACAGTGCGATACTGCATTTCACTTCCATTATTCAGCAGTTTCGCATTCCCTACTCGGTCATCGCGGTCTGGCAATGGTAAGGTTCTGAACGAGACAGTTATGC